AGCTGTCGCGCCCTGGCACCGGCCTCCGCACACCCGCCTGCAGCTGAAGAGGGCGACGGGGACTAAGGGGTGGGGCGTGCGGCCTCCGCAGAGGGGTGGGCGGAGCTCCCGCGTTGGCCCCGCCCCGGGCTGGGGGCGCCCGCGGAACCCCACCTCGCTTGCGGGAGCTCGGCACCCTCTGCCGGGTATGAAAAGCCCGCTCCGCGTCTCCTGGCCAATCCCAAATCTTTCTTCGAGATGTCCCTGCTCCGAAAGCCCTGCCCTAAAACTGTCCCGGCCCGCCCCTCCTGGGATGGCCATCCCCTTGGCTCGGGCAAGTGGGTGTGGGGCGGGACCCCGCTACCCCCCTCATCTCGAGCCGCGCTCCGGGTCCTCCAGTCCGCCCCTGCCCGGGAAGATGCTGCGTGAAACCAGAACTGAGTCCCCCTCCGGCACGTGACAGTCGCGCATCAGCGAGCTGGAAGCCGGTGAGCTGCCGCCGCTTCCAACCTCCGCGCGCTTCAGGATCCCAATGATGCGGCGAGACCGCGGCCGCGGGAGGCCGGAGGGCTGGGCTCGCCCTCAGCGGACGCTGCGGTGGAGAGCCGGGTGATGAATAAATAAGTAACCACATCATTTAAGCTGGGGCTCCTGCGTCACCGGTTGGCGGAAATTATGGGCTCAGGAGAGAGGGTTTGAAACAATCCCTTCCACCCATTAAGTGCCTACTATGTGCCTCTCTGCAAATCACAGTGTCTTAACGCTTGGTTTATTATTAATAATGATAGCAATGGTTAGTAATTATAGATGCTGAATTTCGGCCAGTGCTGGCCCATGTACTTTATATACATTACCTCACTTTATCCTCAGAGCAACCCTCTGGGTGAGTGTGATTTTTTTTTTTTTTTAAAGATTTTATTTGACAGAGAGAGAGAGACAGCGAGAGAGGGAACACAAGCAGGGGGAGTGGGAGAGGGAGAAGAAGGCTTCCTGCGGAGCAGGGAGCCCGATGCGGGGCTCGATCCCAGGACCCTGGGATCATGACCTGAGCCCAAGGCAGACGCTTAACGACTGAGCCACCCAGGGCCCCGTGAGTGTGATTTTTATTCCTGTTTTCCGGAAGATTAAATTGCAGCTTAGAGAGGCTAAACTGCCCAAGATCCAAAATTGGCAAAGGTGGTACGTGAATCCACACAGATGACCCCATAGCCTGTACTTTTAAAATCATAATTTTTAAATAAAATATAACACATACAGCTAAAAAAAAAATCAAATAGGACAGAAGCACTTATGATGAAAAGCAAAAGTCTCCCTCTCACCCCTGGATCCAAAGAAAATCCACTTACGGTTATTGGGGTTTTCAAGCCTGGTGGGTACCTCCATCTCTCTACCTAAAATGCTTACACAGATGGATTTAGCAGGAACGCCATTATCTATTGCCTTCCTGCTGTGATAGATGGTATGTCTCACACCCACTTCCCTCCCTCCATTTTGTGTGGTTATCCTATTATTTTTAGTTCCTCTATTGGTTACCTTTATGGTGGAAACCTGTGTTTCTTCCTGGGAATACTCTCTGCAGTACCCCCCTTGACTTCCCGTGCAGTGAAAGAGGAAGAATCCCAACTCTGCTGGCCATGTTCTCCAGCAGAATATGGATGGAGGGAACCAGTCACTGGGGATCCGGGGGAACACACCCACCACAGGCCCAATCCTGACAGCCTGCCACCTTGCCCCTGCTTTCTGAAAACTGGGGTGGAGGGGTCCTGGGCACTGAGCCCCACGGTCCAACAGGCCTGTGCACAGCACCTATCTTTGGGACGGCCAGATCTGCCTATGGACTGTGGCTGTCTGCCACTTAGCAGCAAAAAGACCTGAAGATTAAACCAGTTCTCTAATCTCTACCAGCCTCATTTCCTCATCTAGAAAATAGGGATAATGATGCCTACTTCAAGCAGTTGCTGAAAAGATTGTGTGAGAAAATATGGTCAAAGATTTTAATGCAGTGGAGACCATCACAAATGATCTCAAGGCATGTGAACATCATACACAGCTTTTCTTTTGATTATAAAAGTAACTTGGAAAATACAGAAAAATATAAAGAAGGAAAAACAAATAGATCATAACCTCACCATCCAGAAATAAACACTTAACAGTTTGTTGTGTTTCTATCAAATCTTTTCACTACACTCTGCTGTTGATTTGTATGCGTTATGGTTGTGAGGCAACTGTGATGGGCTTTGGAGTCCTGGTTCTACCGTTTACATGTATTGTCTCGTTGACCCCTAAAGACAACCATTTTAAGGCAAGTGCTATTGCTACCCTCAGCTTGGGTGACTTTCTCCAAGTTTCTAAATGGCAAATCGCAGAGAATGGACTTGAACTCAAGTCTGAGTGATTATTGCCTGTGGCACTCTGCTCTCACACTAGCCTGTTGGTCGTATAGGCACTGCATCATTTGGGGCTGATAAAGCAGGAAATGTTGTCATACCCACTTCACAGATGAAGAAATTGAGGTATAAAAAATGTTAACCAACTTAACCAGGGTTGCACTCAGGATGAAGCTCCAACTTTAAGAATGGATTCCCCGGGGCGCCTGGGTGGCTCAGCTGGTTAAGCGACTGCCTTCTGCTCAGGTCATGATCCTGGAGTCCCTGGATCGAGTCCCGCACCCGGCTCCCTGCTCGGCGAGGAGCCTGCTTCTCCCTCTAACCCTCCCCCCTCTCATGTACTCTCTCTCTCTCTCTCATTCTCGCTCTCTCAAAAAAATAAATAAATCTTTAAAAAAAAAAAAAAAAGAATGGATTCCCCAAGGGCTGTGCAAATGAAGACATCCTTACCAAACTGCAACTAACATATATTAGTCACCCTTCTTTAATGGTTCCATTTCATCTGCTTCCTAGTTCTCTAACATGACTAGGCGACTAGGCGGCTGCCTCCTCCCCCCTCTCCCCCACCTCCCCCATGGAGTAGCAAGGCTGCAGGAAAAGGGCAAAAGAGAACTCAGATGGGCTACTCCCGCTCTCCTTCCTCCTGCCCTGGCCCACGCAGTTTGGCAAGCTCAGGCTTGCTGGCCTGGGATTGCAGCCATAGGAGGGCAGTGAAGCCAGGCAGGGCTCCCCTGCAGGTCACTTGGCCCTAGGAGGAAGGGGCGGGGTCTTTTAGCTATCTGTGGTTGAGAAAAGAGCAGAAAACTCTGAAGACACTAAAGTCTTGACCACCCAGGGGTGTTTCCTCCTCAAAAAATGAGACCACCAACACCCCCATCCCCTGCAGCCTGCCATGAGGGTTAGTCAGAGGACACTCTGGCTTCCTCTGCCTCCCTAGGGCTGGGTGTGCTCATGCCTTCCTGGGCCTCTCTAGTCCATTAGGGATAGTTCTTGCTATAAAAAAAGTGCTCCTTTGTGTAATTTCCACTTGTTGCTTCTCTTTGCAGTACCATAAAAGCCCATTCGCCCTTCCACATAGGTACTTCAAATATCTTTGCCTGGCTCTTTAGGCTACATTTCTTCCTGTTCTTTACCTCTCCTTTCCAGCATCTGTTTTCTGGGCCCCTCACCATAACAGAGTCACACAACCCAGGTTCAGATTCTAATGCCACCACTCCCCAGCATTATAAACTTAGGAAAATCACTAAATTCCACTAAGTCTCAGTTTCTGCATCTATACAATGGGCCTAATAACAGAAGTCGACTCATAGGGTTAATATGAGAGCTATCTCAACACACACTAAGCAGTAATGAGTATTATCACCTTAGAAATCTTGGCCGAAAGCAAAAACTTGTACATCCTTGTTTCTTTTGCATTCCTCTGATTGCCAATGAGATTGAACATTTTTTCAGTTATTAGTCATTTATATTTCCTTTTACTGAATTGTCTATTCTCTGAATTGTCTATCTTCCATGCTCATTTTTCTCTGAAGTCTTAATTTCCTATTAATTTATATTAACGCTTTCTATGTTAAGAATAACACTTTGTCTTGGGCGCCTGGGTGGCTCAGTCAGTTAAGTGTCTGCCTTCGGCTCAGGTCATGGTCTCAGGGTCCTAGGATCAAGCCCCGCATTATCTGGCTCCCTGCTCAGCGGGGAGTCTGCTTCTCCCTCTGGCTCCGCCCCTCCCCCTGCTCATGCTCACGCTCTCTCTCTCAAATAAATAAATAAATCTTTTTTTTAAAAAAAGAATAACACTGGGTGCCTGGGTGGCTCAGTTGGTTAAGCAACTGCCTTCGGCTCAGGTCATGATCCTGGAGTCCCAGGATCGAGTCCCGCATCGGGCTCCCTGCT